CCCCAAAACCCCAAAACCCCAAAACCCCATAGCAGTTAATATCAATTGATATCTTAAGAAATTAAGGAAAGTGGATTGGTAATGAAGGCTGATTCAAAAATTATTTAAGTGTCTTCCTCACTTTGGCTGACATTATGACTTAGCGATTCATTTTGATTGTTGGCAATTAAATTCTGAGCCCCAAAACTTTTGGGGGTTGGATGGAAGGTAGTATGACTTCTGTTAAAAGAAGTCCTTCTACCATTTGAGAGTTTATCTCTTTTGTTTATTGGACTTTGATTGTCAGAATCAATCTCAAAATCTCTATAATGTTGGGTCCTTTTTCTTTGTAGTAAGTAATCTTTGCTCAGAGGACCAACCAGCATTTCAAAATGCTGAAAGTTATTGAAAACTTTTCCTTCTAAACTTGTTGCCTGTCTTCCATAATTCAAGACTCCTTCTAAACTATGCTCATCTTCATTAACTTTAGGCTTAGTATTAACTTTGGTAGTCATTGCATCGCACAGCCTTTGGTGATAAATATTTGCAGCTTTACTAGTTATTGGATTTGAACGACCGTAATCAGTTAAGAATTCAATTCTCTCTTCTTTGTACTCATAATTATCATTCCTATGAATATCTTTTTTAAGGTAATTCAAAATTTGTCTGAAAGGAAGAATCATGTATAATAAAGTCAGCACAAAAGCTGCTAATCCAATCCATCCTTTCCCTTCAGAGAGCACTGTGCTGAATATGTAAAGAGAAGTTCCATACAGCAAGCAGAAGAATGGAATCATGTTGCTGAATATCTGAGCCATTGTTTCTCCAAATGGTTCAGGCACTTTGTGTCTTTTAAGCAATAAGTACTTCTCAAGCCAGTATTGGAAAAGAGCTCCAAGAAGAGAAATAACTGAAATTATTGGCATTGGAAATACATAAAAGACTGCCATACAGAATAAGAGCATTGTATTTGAGTATCTTTGAGCCATATCAAGCGGAGGCCCTTCAAAAAGCTCGTTTGCTTGCCTTTGAGTGAGTTTAGATTTTTCTCCCTTTCTTTCCTCTCGCCATCTCTTACACAATTTCACCAAATAAGCAGGGTCAAACAAGTAAGAGAACGGACTGACCAGCGAGATAGTAATTACAATGTAGAACACATCTACCATAAGGCCCCCTGAGTCGAACCAGTTTGCTCTTCCAAAGTTCACAAACAATGGATTGACACCTGTATTAATGAACATTGCAATTGTAAGCTTAAAAGCCACAGAGAGATGATACTTTGTGTAAGTTTCATGGTGCTCATAAGACGTGAGCATTCTAATAACTCTCCCCAGGAATATGTTGATTCCAGCAATCAAGAATGATACAGTGATGGAGAGGCCTCTGATGAAGTATTCTTCTGTCAAACTTTCTTTGTGGCTTCCATCTATAGATTTCTTGATACCTCTAATTCCAAGGTTAACTCCAAAGGCGATTCCTAAACAAACTAAAGCAATAAATGAGGTCCATAGAATTTTATTTGAATCTGGTTCTAGGAGAAACAGCAAGATTTTCCCAGTAAATATCTCCTGGCTCAGCTGCTCTTTCAGCATAGATAAGATTTCCATCCCAGTCTCTATTGTTTATGTTTGAATTTTTCAACTGAAACACATTGTAAATAATCCATGTAAGTCCTCTCATCAATAGAGTGCTTTCAAAGTATTCAGCAATTCTTTCAGAATGGCTTTGTTTGTTTACTACAACAAATGCAGTTCCTCAGAACTCATGAGAGTCACAAATTCTTTCCATTGAAGCCATGATCTTTTCTTGTTTTCTCTCTGTTTCTTTGATCTTCATATTTAGCTCATCCATACTTGGATATGGCTTCTTGATACATATGCAAAACTTTGAAGCAGGTGGGCTCAGCTGAAATCCTCTATTGATAGCATCTTCCTCACTAATGTCTCCTTCTTCTTGTAGTCTCCTTTTCTTGTAGGCTTCAAGGTAAGCTTTGACTTGTAACATTGAAGTGAGCTTTCTGGTGACTTTAACCAATTCAGTGATGTCATAACAATAATTGACATACATAATTTCAATTTCTGGGACCTTTGCTTCCAGCCATTTTCTTAGTTCATCAGGTCTCTTATCTTTTGGGATGTTGCTAATCATTACGCCGAAATCTGAAGGAGTGATGTTTTGCTCATCAACTTCTCTAATAATGGTGTTCTGACTTTCTCGTAAGAAAATGCTTGCAATACTAATCACAAAGATGAACAAAAAGTTGAGGATCACCTGGATTTGCACCCTCCATTCGGTGTAATTGTCAGACTCATTTCCGTTGTTTCCAATTGTTGTTGAGACAATATATGAAGAAGTGGGGTCCCATTCTTTTCTGCCTTCTTGGTTCAGATTAATGATCAGACCAGGAGTCCCCACAAAAAGAGCCATCAACAGGTAAATTATGATAGTGAACTTCTTGAAGTGATAGTACAAAGGGAATCCGCTTCCAAGAACGTCTAGCTCTCTCGTATCTACACAAATTGGTAGGCCTTTGACAAGGTGATGAGTAGGTCTTCCTCAGCATTCACACAAGGCAGAAGTGTCATCCATTGGATCTTGCTTTTCCTCTGTAAAGTCAGGCTGTTTTACTTTATTCGCAAAGCCATGAGTTTTAGCTCTTTTAAAATCTGGAGGACATTTATCTAGTTTCTTTTCATAATCATTGCTTTCTGGATTCCCAAGATGTTGTTCAGTTGGGTTTTCAGTTTTCTTATCTCTAAAATTATTAATAATAATGTCAGGAAAAGGAAATTCATAATGTCTAAAAAGAATATAATTTTAGGATTTTTCTATCTTCACTAACTTTTTTATAGACATCAAATAAACATTTTCATCAACAAATTGGAATTAAAAGTAAAATTTAAAGTTATTACTCCTCTCTTCTTAGTGTCTCTCTTTCAGTCTCAACATGGTATAGCTCATTCATGTCTTGTTGTCAACTATCATGAACTTGGCTATTGTTCGAATTATACTCGAAACTTGTTGAGCTGTTTTTCCTCTAAAAAATGTTGTCAACACTAAGAAACTTGGCTGGAGTAAACAAACACTAAAAATAGAATTGATTGAAAGGAGAAGAAACATTTTGGAAACTAATCTATTAAAAGTTGGTTAAAATCAGTATATTAAGGTTCTTTACCTCCACACTTGAAATTTTTCATTCTTCATTGGATTCTAGATGTGCTAAGTCCTGGGGTTTATTCCGACCAATATATTCGCCCTTACGTTTACTCATTTGTTTAATAAACCCAAAATAATTAAATAAAGTCTTTCTATTATTTGAGGTTTTATGGGGTTTTGGGGTTTTGGGGTTTTGGGGATTGGGG